TTCCCAAGTCACCGTTACGTGTGATGGAGCCCTGCTTTCCTGGAGATGGCTGAACACCTGCCTGCCGACGGGAAGTAGTGAATGGATTCCTTGTTTTGCTTTGCTTGCGTGTGTACCTTTTGCTTTCCCTATTAAACTGTCTTTATCTCAACCCACGAGTTTTCTCACTTTTATCCTTCTGATTCTCTCCCCCATACTACTCGGGGGGAGTGAGCGAGCAGCTGTGTGATACTCAGTTGCCGGCTGAAGTTAAACCACAACAAATGTTTACTTGGTTTTAGTAATACAGTACATTAAATTTTTATCTTCTTGTTCTCTATCATACCTGCAGTACTTCCTACAATAAATATGATACCTTTCTTAGGACTGTTTAGAAAGACAATTAAAACCAGTTATTTGGCCTATCTTTATATAATTAAACATTACCTAAGCTTTTCTTGCCAGTTACCATCTTCTTTGTGTAGTCTGCTGGATAAATGTCTCCCAGTACATTTCAGAGTATAAAACGTATGCTAAACTTTGCAAAAACACACTACACACCACCACGTTACTGACTTTACATTAATTCTGCATGAGACACCTTCAGATACCAAGCCTATGTTGACAGAGCAAATAGGTATTACAGAATCATGGAATGGTTTGGGTTGGAAGGGACCTTTGAAGCTCATCTAGCTCAATCCCCCTGCCATGGGCAGGGACATCTTTCACTAGATCAGGTTGCTCAAAGCCCCATCCAACCTGACTGGACACTTCCAATAATGGAGCATCCACAACCTCTCTGGGCAACCTGTTCCAGCGTCTCACTGCCCTCATCGTAAAAAAATTCTTATGTCCAATCTAAATCTACCACCTTTCAGTTTAAAACTGTTGCCTCTTGTCCTGTCACTACAGACCCTGGTGAAAAGTCTCTCTCCATCTTTCTTAATGAGAATGGCTTTAAATATTGAAAGGCTGCAATAAGGCCTCACTGGAGCCTTCTCTTCTCCAGGCTGAACAACCCCAACTCTCTCAGCCTTTCCTCATAGGAGAGGTGTTCCAGGCTAAAGACCCCAAACTCTCAGCCTTTCCTCACAGGAGAGGTGTTCCATCCCCCTGATCATTTTTGTGGCCCTCTTCTGGACTCACTCCAACAGGTCCGTGTCTTTCTTATGCTGAGGGCTCCAGAGCTGGACGCAGTACTCCAGGTGGGGTCTCACCAGAGCAGAGTAGAGGGGCAGAATCACCTCCCTCGACCTGCTGGCCACGCTTCTTTTGATGCAGCCCAGGGTATGATTGGCCTTCTGGGCTGTGAGCGCACAGTGCTGGCTCATGTCCAGCTTTTCATCCACCAGCAGCCCCTTCTCGGCAGGGCTGCTCTTGATCCCTTCATCCCCCAGCCTGTATTGATACGGGGGGTTGCCCTGACCCAGGTGCAGGACCTTGCACTTGACCTTGTTGAACCTCATGAGGTTCACATGGGCCCACTTCTTGAGCTTGTCCTGGTATCTCTGGATGGCATCCCATCCCTCTGGTGTGTCAACTGCACCACTCAGCTTGGTGTCATCTGCAAACTCAATCCCACTATTTTATGTCATTGATGAAGACACTACATAGTACTGGTCCCAGTACAGACCCTTGAGGGACACCACTTGTCACTGGTTTCCACCTGGACATGTAAATCTTTGGATGTGGCCATCCAGCAAATTCCTTATCCTTACCCAGCATTATCACCTAGCCTTGCATATGACGATGAAGAATTTATACCAGAAATGTCTAATAAAAAACACTAGCTACGGACCTGCTCTGTGCCATGCTGTCCTGTGACACTGTAAGTACTCAGTATCTAAAACAAGAAAATTAATAAAACAATTATCTTTATATGTCACTACAGAATGCAAAAAAAAAGGGGGGGGGGATTGAACATGGAAACACAGAAACAACTTTGTCTTAGAACATCCAAATATGATGGTTTTGGTTTGGCTCCAATCCATTTCACTAAAACTGTCTAGGGGGCAAAGATAACAACAATGAAAACAATTTTTAAGGCCAGCCATCTGATTTGGCTAGATATTAAAGGTAGTAAAAGGCATGTTAGGTCTGTAGCCTTCTTCCTGTCAAGCTTCAAGCCCTGGCTCCTGCAATCTAAGTTCTTTAAAAAAACACCAGAAAATATGGAAAGTTGGTTAAGCTATTTTCCCCAGTATCTGAAAAGCATTTGTACTGTTTTTGCTAGGAAGAATATGTCCAAATCTAAAGGCTTTCACAGCAGGAGACTGTGTCTAACAGAACAAGACTAGCAAGCTAAAAAACTTATGTACCTGCTTTTTTATTTTCATTTGGATTAGTTTTTTTTTTTTTTTTTTCATTACTGTGAGAATCTGTACCTTTCATGTTTCTGATCTTTCCCTTGCTTGGCTTGGATTGCATTCTGATCCATTTCTGTCTCAGCAATCCCTGCTGTTTCAGGGACTTAGAACCTTAAGTTCTAAGCAGCACAGTATTTACTAGAAGTGGTCTTTCTAAAAGTGGTGTTTACAAGGTATTACTACCAGCGTGTTCCATGAATGGCAAAAGCCATTGTCAGACAAAAAAAAAATCCACTCACTAATAACTAGAAGTAAATATAAAAATTAATTTCCACACAGTTTGGAGAAGCATAGGTTTCATTTGTTTTATTTACTAGACAAGAGGCAGCAGATTATTTTATTGAAGTCAAATTGTATTAAAAAATAAAACGCATATGTTCAAAGCACTTGAGCACATTCATCAGTTAAAACAGAAACAAAAACCAGAGTTGTTCAGATCAATGAAGCAGCAAAAGGCCAGCAGAGTGTTCAGGACGCTGGCAGCAAAGTACTTTTCTGTACAGTTCTGTAAGTCACCAAAGTACATCTTCAGGCACAAATTTGGCTTAGGTATTACCTAAGTTTTTTTAATGAGAACATTCATTACACAAGTGCTGCTGTGAAAGAACCACCACAATTACTAAATCATGTTTTCTAACACACAAACAAAAAACACTGCTTTTTTAAAAACATCACTGAAATAAAAAATATGGATAATGTATAAAAATAGTATAATTTTATTTTTAAATTGTCTGTCCAGTTTTTCTGGTATGTTTCTGAAGTGAACTGTAACCATTTGCCTTGTTGAAGGAAATGATGGGAGGCAGAAATAGCAAAGCAAATAGCATATCTGTGAATCTGCTTTCTTAGATCTTATTTTATGAAACTGCAACAGACTATTACCCAGCCTTTCCTTTCTTCCATCAACTAAAAGGTATCACTAAATAGAGGATGACAACTTGCTACTGACTTTTTTCTTCGGCCACTGTCTGATCCAGCTTGACAGTAAAGCTATTCCAAGTTTAAAACATACTCAAAATCTAACTTTAGCCATCTTATACATTATCAAGCATGACAAAGATTGTAAAAGCTGTCTTATACATTATCATCGGTCAAGGTTTACTCCATTCTTTTATGCTTGTAACAATTTTTGAAGATACTATAACCTCTGGAAGTTCGAAAGTGATACACTGTTCCTTGTGAGCACCCAAACTTCAAGGTCCATCCAGGTTGTTACTGCTTTGGCAGGATGACCGAACACTGCACTGTTGTCTGAAATACAAAGTCAAAGTAGATGAATGCTTCCTCTGCCAACGCAGAGCAGAATTACTTTTCAATGAAAAGGCAGACTACACAGCTTCCATTTGGATTACAAACATGTGTAACTCCTTCCATGTGCATCCCCAACTTCCGCCAACACCATGAAAGTTAAAGGAATTACAGGGAGGGCATGCCCTACAACAGTTCAAGGACTTGTCATTACAACTTTTTAAACCTGTGTAACAGGCTTATCGGTATTGAGAACAACAATCATATTGCAGAAGCCCTAAGTTAAGGACTTCAGGCTCACAGGCTACAAATGAAAAATTGTTCAGCTTGTTTTTCGTTTTTAAGGCTAGCATACTGGTTTACATGCATCATTTATAGAAAGCTCTTTACTAATACAATCAGAATGCTCTGAAAATGAAGTTCCTTAAAAAAAAGTGATTTCTACATGTTTCTGCATCAATTTTGAAGTACAGCTATCAAGAACATAAACCCTTCTCTAAAGGTGCACTGATTGGGAGTGAATGAAATACTCATGTTATGCAGGGACAGGCAACTTTGGCATCAGCCACGTTCAAGGGTAGGACCTGAGAAACACTTCAGTCTCGGCTTTCTTGAGAGGTCCTTAGCCCGCAAGGACCACAGTATGTAGACCAATGCAACTACAGTTGAAGTGAAGCCTTGATGAATTTTCCCCCTCCACCTTATTCACCTGAGCCAATTCACTCTAGTCACATAAATATGTTCACTGATTTCACTGAGATATTTTTTGAAGAAGAAAATTACTCAAGAATCTTTACAATATCAGAGCTCTACATACATAAATGATGAATGTCAGTTTCAGTTTGTGATAGACTAGAAAAAATGACTGAAAAATGTTAACCTTTATGCCCTTCAACTTGTTAGCTACCAAACATATTAAAGTCCAAGTATGTCAATGATGAAGTGTGCTAAAACACATCTACAGATACCTTACCCAATCTAAACTATCTCACAGTATTCACTTACCACAGCTCTCTTACCAAAGTACAACATTATTCCTTGCATCAGAGCTCTGACAAACATCGTTTCACATAGACTAGTACAGAAGTTCAAAAAAGGCACGTAATAGCAGCAGGTCTCCTCAAAGAGTCAAGAAGTTTATCTGAGGAGCACTCACAGAAGCTCTGACACCTTACCACAAGCTGATTTTCTTACACCCACACTGTAAGAAAAATCAGTTCTAACATGACATTCCTTTTACCATCCCAGTACAGATTGTCTCCCAGTCCTCATGTGGTTGAACCTTACTGTAATAAAGGTACAGAGCTCAATTCCCAGTTGTTATGAGTTAAAATTCTTTTCAACAAGACAGTTTCTTCTCTCTCACCAATACTTTTCCTAACAAAGATAAAAAAGAACCTACTATATTGGTTCCCTTTTGAAATTGTCCACTGTCACTGATTTGTTTACTTCATTCAGCAATGAGCCCATGTTTTACTTGATCAACTTTTGATATCAGTGCCATGGCTGAAGTTCTTGTTGCCTTTGACGTCCCTTCCAAGTGTCAACTATAGGCAGGCCTGAAAACCATCCCTACATGCCTGCTCTTGCTTCTGGATTCCTTCTTTGTAGCTTGTCCCTGCTTCCAACCCTTGAATGCTGCATTTTCACACCGGAGCTCTGTTTCCTGTTTAGCCTAGTCAGTCTCCTGATTGGTCTTTCTGTGGATCGCTCCTGTGCTTGGAGAATGCTGCCCATAAAGACCTGCCAGCTTTCTGGAGCTCCTTGCCCCTTCAGAGCTGCCTCCCACGAGGTGATACCGACTAGTTCACTGGTTAAACCCAAGTATGCTCACCTGAACTCCAGCATCCGTACTCTGCTACTTGCCTTTCTCGCTCCCCAACAGGATGCTGAACGCCACAATTTCATGAGCGTTACAGCGACAACTGCCAGTGATTACCACCTCACTAAACAACTGTTCTCAGTGAAGAGCAGATCCAGCTGTACATCACCCATGGCTGAACCATCCCATCCAGAAATTTCCCTGACACCAGCCAGAAATCACTTGGACCACTGTGATCAATAGCATCATCTGTATTTCCTGATCTGTGACATAAATACAATGTTGTCATACCCTGTTCTGAAAGAGTAAGGGCTTTGTACCCTGGCCACGCCTCAAAATGACAGACTGTAGGAAGATGCTGTGCCTGCAGAAAAATTTGCTCCAAAATTTTTTTTCAAGCTCATGTAACCTGAGCCTGGAGAATGATCTCTTTTTACAGCAACAGAGCCAGTAAATACTGGCCTAAAGACATCTTAGGCAGTTAAAAAACAGTAACTTTCCAACTACACTTAAACTCACTGGCATATCACAGATGAAAACACACATGAAAAGGAACAGATGGCAGGCAGCCTATCCTTTAGCAGAAAACCAGCCCTTGGACATTTTTGCTTCAACACTCCAGGGTTTCCTAAAGACTACTGTGAGATTCAGAGGTGACACCACTGCATGTGTGTGGGTGGGTGGGATGCATACCTCCATGGGAGGAGACAGATAAATGCAGCTGGGCAAAGAGGCTGCCAGCATATTTTCTCCTGCCTGGTGAAATTCCTCCAGTCGTAGCAGCCAGATTGGAGAGCTCAGAAAGGAAAAGTTGTGTCCATGTAGAGCTTTACGGTTTCACATGCTTCCCCAAACACTAGAAACAGACATCAGCAAATGCCCATGTGAGATGGCCAGCTGAGGCCTGGATATAGGCTGGCATGGCTTTACATCATCAGTGATTGCACAGTACCAGCCGCACTCTTGCTTAGCTCCTCCCTTGTCTGCATTCCTTACCACATTACCACAAGGCATGCAAGAGGCGCTGCCTTGAAGCTCTAGGAAAAGGTGCCTCTAAAAAAGATCAGTTAAAAAAACCCCCATCGTCTGATCTTCAAAGTTTCCAAAGTAAAATACACTTCACATCTACAAAGAGAACAGTTTTTTAGAACTGTTTATGGTTCAACTACACTACAGAGGCACATACATACATACCTCTGCTGTATTGCATAATTGCCTCTCTCCTTATTCATTAACACAGAAGCTTGTGTTAATGAATAATAAAATAATCCTTCATCTACTTTACCACCATTTAATGCCTCAAACAGAAAGATTTTTAGCCTTTCCTGCCCTTCTTAAGTAAAATCAGAGGAAGCCTCCAAAGCTTCAGACTTTCCTGTCACTTTTCCAGAGTCCTTGGTTGTGTTAAATCAGAAACAATTGTGACTCCTACTCTCCTGACATAAAATCTCAAGCCCCACTGCCAATACCTAGTTCCTGTTTCCAGTTCTTCTAATGCATTCAGATCAACTCCCTTTCTCAGTGTATCATCACTCAAACCAAGCCACTGTCAGTGAAGAGCATAAACACATAATAATTGCCATGCCCAAGTGAAACTATCTCAATATTCATCACTGATACCAGGCAGCAGCAGATGCTTAAGAGAAAGAGTGGAAGAAGCTACATTAGACTGGAGTGACCCTTCCTCTGGTGCATCATATTTTCTTCTTTCAGCGAACAGTAGTTCAGGAACTGAGCTGGAGGAAGCACTTGAATCGGTGTTTTAAACAGCTGACAATGAACTGAAAAACGGGTTAGCGTTCATTAAAGGGGAACCTTGCGAACTCAGTGCCAGCTCTTTCCAGTCACCTGCTCTCTCGCTCCTGATGAAGAATCAACACAATCATGCAAGGGAAAGCAACAGGACACTGCTTACTGAAGTACACCTGCCAGAATTGGAGGCAGATCCCTCAGTACCTAAGCAGCATTATATACTTGGGAAATCTAGCTAGATGCTAGAAAAATCTAGCACATTTTTTAGATTATTTGTTCAAACTCTGAGTTTTTTCTATAGCTAGGCATCTATGTTAAACAAAAAGTGTGGCCCAGCCCTCTGAAAATGTTTTCTGTGGATTAGAGAGGAGAAGGAATACTGATTCTGTTGTCTCCCTTATCCATCCATGACACAACTTCCTAAAGACTGCAAAGGGGAAAGGGAAAAGTCAGTTACCTCTCAGAAATGTATAGAGGGGACATTAAAACAGCTGTTTCAGATAACTGGGTGAGGAAGAGTCATAAACATAATCCAAGACCTCCTAATAAAAGGTACGTTTTCTAGTGAAGAATCAGCAAAAGACTCATTTCAAGGATTTGGCTTGGACCTCCACGAACCTGACCTGGTCAAGTATGCTTAAAAGTGTCTGGGGTGAATTTTGCTTAATATGTCTTTCCTTTAGGACACTGACTAAACTAGAGATGAGAGTCACTGACAAGAGAACCATATTGGAACCAAAACTGAAAATTTGATCCCAATCAGAAGACATGAAAGATTTTTACAGCACATAAAGTTCTGTTGATAGTTGAATTTCAGGGACACACTTTCAGGTATATGAAGACATATGTCTGTGCTCACCTTTCTTACCCATTCAGATTTCAGTCAACATAGTGATTTTCAGAGAAGAGAAAGAAAAAACCTAAGAGAGGAGAGAGTCATCAGAAACTGGACTCTCTCAAAAGTTTTCTCAACAGACTTCCTCCTTTTCAGACTGCTGCTGCTTCCACTAACAGAGGTCCTTGTGGCCCACTTCTATCTGCTCTCTGTCTTCCACATTCCAGTTCTCCTTCCCTGTCTTCCACACCATCTCAATGTAATCCTCAGTTGCTCTCGCACTTCACACTCTTGTACTCTTGGAAGTGGCTAGTTGTCACAAAAAGCTTGTCAAGAAGTTGGATAGACATCTAAACTATTTTAACATTATTCTTTCCCTCTATGCTATAGCCAGAAATGAATCTCAAGCATGCCTATGAAATAGGATCTTGTTAGGTCGTGCAGAGAAGAAATGAGAAAGGCAAAAGCCCAGCTAGAACGCAATCTGGCCGCTGTCGTTAAAGACAACAAAAAAAGTTTTTACAAATCTATTAATGCCAAGAAGAGAGCCAAGAAAAATCTCCATCCTTTATTGGATGCGGGGGGGAACATTGTCACCGAGGATGAGGAAAAGGCTGAGGTACTCAATGCCTTCTTTGCCTCAGTCTTTAACAGGCAGAGCATTTATCCTCAGGGTACTCAGCCCCCTGAGCTGGAAGACAGGGAT